GATGGATGGATGGATGGATGGATGGATGGATGGATGGATGGATGGATAATACAATGAGCAAAACCACAAGTGAAACTCAAACAGGGAACATAATGCAAACAGGGACTGAAGGACTTCTATAGAACCTAAAATACACAAAAACAAATAGAAACACATCAAAGGAACACCATAAATTCAGATAATAAGGTAACCGTAACAGTGCACTCATAAAGGAACAAAAACAAAAACACAAACTCCTGACGAACAGCCTTAATTAACCCTTTACTCTTGGTGTTGTAAATAAGTGGTTCAACACACAACATAAATTTGTAGAACCATCTTATCCTACAATGACATCATTTGTCAGAATCAACGATCCATCAAACAACTAAAATAGTAATACTGACACAATGGGCAGTGTGGACCCCAAAATTGGCTCCTCAAACAAATTTCTCACTTGAGACCAAAGAAACCTTACTGGCATGTCCATAAGCTAAAAAACACTGAGAGATTACATTGTGAAGAATGTATTTCAGTCCTCTACCAAGAATATTGAAGTAAAATTCTAAACAAGCTGTTTTTATTAAGTCAAGTCAAGTCAAGTAGGCTTTATTGTCAATTTCTTTACATGCGTTGGTCATACAAAGAATTTCAATTTCGTTTCTTGCTCTCCCGTGCAGACATAGACATAAATTAGATAAGTTAGATAAATTAGACATATAATAAGAAAATTATGTGATATAATAAATAAAAAAGTGATCAATTGTAATGTGCAATATTTACAACACAGTCATTCAAGTAACAGGCCTGAAGAAAGCGGCAGCTATTAATGATCAGGTCAAATTCCCCCCAACTGTCCATATAATAAAGGAACAGCTTTTTGTGAAACATTTGCACGCTCATAGGCTTCTTATAGTTTGAAGTGACAATGTGAAAAAATTGTCTCCGGACAAAAGACACTTCTGTACAAAAAGCTTGAGCCTTTAGTTATCCACACGTATTTGTTTGCAAAAATATATATACTTGGTCATCAGTTCTTTGCATCCAGGAATATTGTCATTAGAATGTGTATTTCACACTAAATGTCTGACATGGAAAATATTGTGGGAACAGAGATATAAAAAAAAGTAATTCATTACAACATTTTAATACAGGACATGCTGTAGGGCTCTCAGTTATATGATAGTTGGCTTTGTGAGAGCATTCAGTCCATGTCCATCATCTCCAGGATAACATCTCTGTTTTGGCCTTTTCTGTGTTTTTTTTCTCTGGTAAAGACAAACATCTGTAATTTTTTAAAGGTCTGCATTGTGGTGACTTTAAAAAAATGACTGCTCCTTTTTGGAGATGCCATTTGTAACCATATCTGCATCACTCTAAAAAGTGTCAACAGTCACTTGTGATCATTTGAATCTGTATACCATAAAGTATACACACACTTATGGAAGTGTGACATTTCAGACATCAGCACCAGGCCTTACCCAGTTAGCCCTTTAAAAAAGCCTGATCCAAGAATAAAACAAAACAGAAAATTACTTTTTTTTGTTTTAAGTCTTTATTTGGCCTTTTAACAAAATATGTAAAAAGAAAAAACAGAAATACATTTTTGATATTAATAATTTATTACTATGCGATAAGTCAAGATTATTTTTCGTGTAGTCTTCTGCGCCCTGTTATCAGGTGTATCTGATTGTGTTCAATAGGATTTTGAGCAAAGGTTTTACCATTGAATTATACAAAGGTGTTAGAGGTGTTAAATATAATATATTTGGCATTATAGGGTTAAGATAAATTTCCACAGCACTGGATGCTCGTGATTCAAATCCTCTCATGTGGAACGTAATGCCAACTCCATTTTATAATAAAAGGTAATCAACATTCATAATTCAAAAGCACACCTGCTTATATGATATGGTTTCACTTTAATTTTTGCTTTAATTTAGTATCCTTTTACACCGCTTTGTACGGTGGAACAAGAAAAGCTGAAAGTCCTCTCAAAAACCTGTTAAGAGTCATTCAACAGCCTCAGATATGCCTCAAGCTATATGACATTTAAAGGTATGGGTAATTCTTACATCGCCCGCTGTTTCTGGTGGACTGGATTCAGTCTTGTCGCACTCACTTTGTAAAGCTTATCATGCTTACAACGGTGTTGATTTTGGGAATTTTATGTCTTTAGTTCCTGCAGAATATAAGTTTCTCAAAACTGCCTATCAATGGCCTGGGTCATTTTCAGTGTCTTTTTGGTTCAGATATGTTCAGATATTACCAAAAATCAATCCCCAAAATCAGGTTGGTCCTGCTGTGTATCCAACAACTTATAACTATGGATACACTCCATAATTTTCTCAGCACAGCAACATCTCCCTCTTTTCCCTAAAAGTTCCTCCCTCTAGAATTGACTTTTATGTGTGAACAATTTCAGTGAGTTTGGATTTGGAGTTAAAGTCATTCTTGGATAGTTTCTCTTGCTCGTTAAGATTTTTGTTTCCGGGTTTGGCAGGTCTTGAATAGCTTTCTGATTCAGACCTTTTGTGGCAGCAAAAAACAGCAACAAATAAATGTGGATGCACAACCATGAAGGTCTTTTTAATCATGTAAGCAGCTGATGGGAAGACAGAGAAGCTGACTTTTTTAAATTAAATCAGGCAAATGGCAGAGTTACCTCTAAGACCTCTTTTGACTTAAGAGGATTCATTTTAAGGTTAAAACTTGTCACTGTGTCTTTCTAATGAACAAAGTGGCTTCAATGATTCCTGGAGAATCAAACTGAAGTAAGAAATGAGAAGATCTAACATGTATGTAAAAATATTACCCTCTCCCTTTAACAATCCATATTCATACAACATAACCCAAGTGTTGGTACGTTTTTACTCAGTTTCGTCTCATCTCTTGGAAAAAAATCACTCTGGGATTTTTGTGGTTCACTCTAACCTTCCTTATTCATTGTGCTGTGGACTTGAGGGTGTCTTTATGTATAAATGCACATCAGGATGTAACCTCGTAGTTTCGTAGTTTTTTATTCTTTGTAAATGTATAAACTTGATTATTGAGTCAGGATCATTTCTTTTTTGTTCGTTGAGTACATCATTGTATAAACCGGAAACCCTTTATTGATTAAATGTATGTTTGTATTCTTTTTCTAGAAAAATCCCCTGGCACCAGATCATCCATTAAAATGAAGCCAATAGAGGAGGGTATGGAGGATGACGTTTTTAAATAATCTGCTCCTGAGCAACAACTCTTGAAAACATCCAGTCTGAAGGTTTGAAATGCAGTTAAATCAGACCACATCCCTGTTATTTTACGTCAATTCACGAACATCAGAAATGTGCTGCCATTGTTGTTAAGGCTACGTACACAATGCAGTCTGCAGTAACGCAGATCCATGGGTTTGCGTGGACTTTCACAATACCAAATATATGTGACTCGTATGTGATATACAGTGTAAACTTCAGGCATACCTTACAGTGTCCCACAGGATAGAATAATGTCACGATGTTTTGGGTCCAGCTCTTCATCAAATGGACAGGTGACACGTCCACAGCCGCTTTGTTTGTTTGAGTCTTTATTATCCATATATTTAGCCCGAAGGTTCCTTATTTTCATGGCATTGGAACCAGGAACGTTTATATACACACTCAGCAATTTCCCAGGAAATACAAAGAAAAATCTTTAACACTCATCGAGTTTGGCGTGGATAGAGCTATCCTCCCCTAAATACACATTATATCAGAAACCTGGTTTTCTCTCCACTGAATGTTCTCCTCATCATCCGGTTGTTGGTTTTCTTTCTGGCAGGACGCAGAAATGTGGTGTTTGTCGAGTATCAATAACCTCGGAATGGGAAATTGCTTTCATCGCCATTTGTATGACATAGACAGGAATTTATGTTCCAGAACAACTTGACCCAAAATCAGACACACACATACATAGTACAGAACATCGACACACAGGACCTGAGGTTACTTGGGGTGCAGCCATTTATTACAACTCAATAAATAGATACAAAATGAAAAACGAACATTAGGAAAAGAGAGGTAAGAAGGTTAAAAAAAAGGCAGAGCTTCCATGTGCAGTTTTTGGGGAGCCAGATTGTAATAAGAGAGTTTGTTTTGTTCCAGGCAGGGCATGTTTTATCTTCCTAAGTCCTCAGCAGGTCCCCCAATGGTGGTTCAAAGTCAGCCGTATCGTGTCAGCTACCCCCAAACCGAGTCTCCAACTTCTCCAAGGTGGTGTCCATTTCCGTGATTCTGTCAGACGTCGTCCGCAGTTTTCCCCACAGAGAATCTAGCCTGCAGTTCTTCAAAGGTTTAGTCTGAGTATTGCCTCAAAGAGCAGCCTGCTAAGAGCTGCTGCCGGCTTCTGATTTTCATGATAAACCAGCTATCCGCCAACTTAAAAAAGCAGAAGATCGGCTATCATGAATCCAAATATGTACAGGTCTTCAGCGTCCTCCAAGAAAAGAGCAGAGAGTCATAAAACCTTCTATTTAATCCAGGCATCCATTGTATAACCAGCAGGGTGAGTCACCCCTGCACCTTGTCTTTGGGTAGAAAGGATCTTGTCAATGGCTTTAAGAGACCAGCCGACCAAATCCATGGTTGATGTTAGGGTTTAAGAAGTAAAAATGCAAAAAGAAAGACTCTGAGAAGTGACAGGACAATGATAGCAAGCAGGTAAAAAAAAAGGGCTGGGAAGGGAGCAGATAGAAGCATGTCTGCACTCGCCATTGGCCGGAGGAAGAGGTCGTGGTAGAGGTAGCATTCTAACAAAGCCCGGATTTAACAAATCCGATCCGTGTTGTTCAGACTGTCATGAGAAGATCAGAACCAGGTCGCGTCAGCCTGAAATGACCCAAATCCAACTTTTTGGTTTGATTTTGGTTACTTAAGGCTGCATTGTGAACGTAGCCCAAGAATGGTGACATGCATTTGAAAACCTGTTGTCTAAATTATGAATGGGTTCCTGATGTATTCCACTAAAGATCATGAGGTTTTACTTTGTAAAATGTATTGTGTTATTTTTCTATAACTATAATAATTATTAATATTTTGGTGGTGACATTTTTACTTGTTTATAACAAAGAAATGTATGTAATTTTGTTGTTTAGCAGTACAATTTTCACTCAGCCATTCATGTAATAGCTTTACTATCAGTTTTTTTTTTAACTGATTGAATTAAATAGCAGCTTAGTTTGTGTGTTTAATAAAACCTTGGGGTGTTAAATCGTGTAAAAATTTCCAGTGTGTTATTGTGTCTTTGAAATAGTTTCTTATATTGTCAACAGTGAAATCACGGCTCTTTTAGGGTAAGCAGTGCCCCCATGTGGCCATTATATGCATTACTGCTGTATTACATGCATTCACTATAAATACAGTGTAACTACTCATCCATCCATTTCCTATTCCCACTTAATCCATACACAATCCCAATCCATTTCACATCTCTCAATGGCTGCTACGCTCACTGTTATGATCAGTTTAGAATAACCAATTAACCCAGAATGCGTGATTTTGGAAGGTGGGAGGAAATTGGACTATATGAAAAAGACCTCTGCATATACAATACCAGCAGGAGATAAATTGTATGTTACTGGATAGTGATGGCCAAAACTACAGGATGACAATGAAATGAGTGGTATGTTTCAGGTCCAGTGTAACTACTGGAATAAAACAAGAAATTATAGTGTTTCAAAACATTTAATATTTTTTAATTTTGGCAAGAAATATCATCACTTTCCAATTAGATGACAGTAAACATGGACATTATACATTAAGATAACAAAAACATGTTTCTATGTTTAACCAGTCTTTTGTATTTTGCTGTAACGAGTAAAATTCCCTGCATAAACAGAGTAATAACATATTGTATTTTGAACTAAGACTAAGTTTGAAAAAAACAACAACATACAAATAGATAAATAAATAATAAATCATAAGATTGACGAGCTATTTTAAAATAAAATCTATCTATATTAATGTGGATTGAACTCCACTAAAGTATGCTTTTTCTTATTCATATGACACGCTTCAGACTAGAGATAGCTACTGTGGCATGACATCAGTAAAAATAATGTGTACAAGCCTTTGTATAGCATATATTTTAATATAATATTATAGTATAAAGTAATAACAGTTTATGTGGTTACATATAAACTGTGATTACCATTTTATGCTAGACAAATTTGCTCTATCTAGTTGTCGTAATGCCTGTGATTTAATTTACTGGTATTTCTTCTTTTTTACATTATGATGCGAAACATCATAAGGGGATATGGAAATAAAGAAAGCAAAGAGATAAGCAACAGAACAGCAACAAAATTAAGACGGAAGTAAAAGAAACAAACGGACAATAGACGGGACAATAATGGATATAATCTAAAACCAGACAACCAGCTGTTACAACTGTAAAAAAAAGAAGAGAAAACCTCCTGTGGCCTATGTGGGAAAACTAGGTAGAGGATCATCATCAGCGCTTGCAGAGAAAAACAAACAGCAACAACACCAGCAGGAGATAAATTGTATGTTACTGGATAGTGATGGCCAAAACCACAGGATGACAATGAAATGAGTGGTATGTTTCTGTTGGAGAAAATAGTTAGACCTCATCAGGCCTTTCTGGGGAATTCATTAACAGGAATGACAAAGACACACAACAAGACACCATACACCGAATTCCTGACACCCACAGCATGAGGGGCTAACTTATACTCTGATGTGTATATACATTTTATGTACATGCATAACCCAAAGTATTTCTATTTGGAACCACTATGGTTGAGATTTCCCCATCTTCTGTTTTTGCCTTGATAGGGAACACTGATCTTAAACAACATGTGCTTGGACAAAAAACAATTTATTGTAACATCGTCATTAAACATTACCCTAAATGAACTTATTAATTAAAAATAAAACAAAAAAAAACCCATCAACCATTTAAAACACCATGGTAACTCAACACACAATACTATTATTTACCAAAAAAAAGAAAGAAAAATTAAATCTCTCGTCACAAACACTTTTGCACCAAATACTCTTATACAATTCTAAATATTCTGTTTGACTAGTAGGTAAGTATAAAAATACCCAACAAAACGAACAGATCACATGAAAATAATGGAAGGAAAAAAGTTCCTTTTTAACGGAGGAAGGCTTTGGCAATTTTGTCATGAAAACCCCTATTATACAGATGTAGAGCTACTTTTTTGCTAATAGTTGAGATGGACAAGTTACCTGAAAAATTGCTGCAAAAACAACATGTCTCAAACTCAATTTTTTTCCTTTTCATGAAAAAAACAACTCATAGTAGATTTTCACTATAATCGTATGCTTTAGCTTTGTCCACGCACTGTTGAACTTTTTATAAATGCCCGAAAAACTATTCAGGGGCAATAATTGAACAAATGAAAAGATCTTTAAACATCTATATAAAACTCTATCCATCCATCCATTAGATAGACACGTAAACATTGATGATAAGCGTGTCAGCAATTAGAATCAGTACTTATAAAAGTACGAAGAGCTCTTCATATATCCCACCTCCTATTGAAACAAGGCAAACATTCTGGTAGCCATATCCAAATATATGTAACCAAAGAAAGAGTTTAGAAAGGTTTAGTCTAAATACAATGATACATCCCGCATTTAATTTTCTAAAATGTAGTTAAACATTGATACATGTCTTATTATTACGTATTTCAGATTTATCCAGGATCTCAAACAACATCTGAACAAACATCTAAAATGCCCAATTGTGTGTTCCCATGTTTGTATCCATATGTGCGAGTGTGGTTGGTGGTAGTTGTGGTGTTCTCATCTCCTATTCTGTATGGAAACTCAGAAAGCAGTTGCCGGGCGATATGAAACGATGGTCATTGCATTTTTGGGACTTCAGTCATCATGTGGAATTCACCTTTAGAGAAGAAAACAAGGGGGGAACGTGTCCTATTGAACTCTTCCTCCACTGACACGTACACACACTCTCACATATATTCATACGTTACACACACGTTACTGTGCTGACTTACCCTGGCCTGATCCTGATATATATATTTATTTATATCCACTTTACAAGCTCACAGCCTTCACTGTCTAACTCGTGGATCATGCTCATTTTGCTTTAAAAGTTTCTTGTGCAATTGTTAGTTATCCATGGGGGGGTGAAAAAAGCCATCATAGACAACATGAAAACTCCACATAGAAAGACCCCAGTCCCCTGGAGATTCAAACCTGGAACCCTCTTGCTGTTGAAATGGGTCAATATGGTCACTATGGCGCTTGTCTTTATTTTTTTTAAATATTGAGCACAGATCCGCTTTGTAGGATTGTGTTACAGTTTTGCCCTGTGGCAACAATACAAAAAAACATTTTTTACTGTACCCTTTTCATCTTTTTCTTAAGCCAACACCAAAAACACTCACGTGTTCCCCCTGTCGTAAAAGCCAGCTCTAAGCCTCCGGAAACTGGAATACACCTTCCTTTCTATACAAACACAGAACAGTCTGTCACAATGGCAATATCCTCACGGCAGTGACATATTTAGATGTTTTTAGTGATATTGAATTTTTTACTCTTCGATATTTGTCGACTTATATATGTCTTGGTTAGTGTTGGAATAAAAGCAAACATAAATACATGCGTTCTTCTTTAAGCGCAATGAGCCCAAAAAAACTACAAGTTCCGCATTGCAAAGCCCCTTGACGTCATCACAACAGGAAGCGTTTGATGGTGGGCACAACGAAAATGACATAGTTCAATACAGTAACGTGCCTTAATAGGAAATGTCTGCGTCAATGAACAACGCCCCTGAGGTCTATAAGTCCATTACTGAGAAATAAACCCGACTGTCCACTTTTTTGGCTGCTTTAAGATCGATTCCTGGGGACCAGTCACGTATGATGGAACGGGCGATGGAACAGCTCAACGTACAGCTCAGCCGCCTGACCCGCTCCCTGCGCCGGGCGAGGACCGTGGAACTCCCCGAAGGTAAACCTATTTATCAGAGATTTTTTTGCCGAAACAGGCAAAAGGCTCTGTACCCACTGTTTTACTTTTCGGCTGTAATGTAAATTTGCTGCCAGACGAGATTATTTTGATTCCCAGAAGCCTTTTGGAGTGCTGCTGCTGAGAGATTATTAGACAGAAAGAGAGAAGTTGAGATAAAATAGACCCATGTATTGTAAAAGTAACATTTGAAGTATGACTCAAGTACGGAATTGTTTCAGGAGCTCTGAATTCAAATGACACGTTCTCAGGCTGAAAAGGGAAACGGATAAAGCAGAAATGTGGCAGGAACATTAAGAATTGAGACATAGCTTTACTTTATTTGTATATGTCATTGTGGCGAAGCCATTTGATCTTTAAGGCATACATTCAAATGGAACAAGTACTTATGCCTGTAAGATACTGAAACTCACACATGGCAACACAAAACACTGATCAGAACTGCTTTTATTGTTACACAGGAAAGAGAATGGTGACATTTAGACACTACAGTGGCTTAAGAAGCACGAACCAAACACTATCATTCTGTAAAATAGGGTTTTACTACATTAAATCCCTCTTTCTTCAAAGTGAGATAGCCAGAAGACCAACGAACCAGTTAAACAACTTTTAAACTGGCATAAATGGCATAGGCTGTTGCTTTATATTTGTACACATGGACTAGAACCTAACCTATAAACACTAACACGATTTTCACAAGTCCCAGCTGGTTTATATGGTTCTAACATGCCGGAGATGTACTTTGGGGCTAGACCGTGAAGAGACTTGTACACAGGCAGGGCTGTTTTAAAGTCTTTTCTCAGAGTGACAGGAAGCCAGTGCTTCCCTAGCACTGGACTGATGTGGTCGTATTTCCTGGTCCTGGTCAGATCTGGAGAAGCAGCATGCTGGAGGTTCTACAGCTGTCTGACGGCTGGTTTAAAGCCCAGTTAGCAGCCGTTACAGTAGTCTAACCCGCTGGAGACAAATGCATGGATCAGTCGTTCTAGATCTCGTTCTAGATCTTAAAGTTCAGGTCAGAGTCCAGTATTATCAGGAGATTGCAATCTGATTTTTAGGTTCCAGAGACAGAGTCTGAAGGTGACTAATGACACTTTCTCTTGGTTTTTGTGGACCACAGACAATGATTTCCGTTTTGTCTGGGTTTAACTGGAGAAATTTGTTCTGCATCCACAAAATGATTAGTTCAAAACACAATAAATCCATAGGTCCATGTTGTCCTGCTTTCAGCGACGTGTAGATCTGAGATTCCCAAGATTTACCCCTGGGGAACCCCACAGGTCAGAACAATTTGGTCTGAGACACAGTTCCCTATTTAAACAAAGAGTGACCTGTCCTCGAGGTAAGACTTGAACCACTTTAAAACCGTACCAGAGATTTCAGCCAGTCGATACGTTCTTGGTTGACCAAAATTCTCAATGGTCGACCAATTTGCCTGTTAATTTCATACAGTCTATGCTTAATTTCATCAGGGGTTCATCAAGGGAAAGTTGATACTTTCCATTGTTAGACAGGAGATAGTCAGCTAGCAATAGGTATACAGCTTTTTCTAGGACTTATCCTATGAATGGCAGGTTTGATATGGGCTGGTAGTTTTTCAGTACGGTGGCATCCAGACTGCAGTTTTTAATGTCATCAGACAGCAGTTTTTAATGCCTTTGGAAATGTTCCAGTCTGAGGTGAGATGTTGACTACATGAGCGAGTTGTGGTAACAAACTGGTGTAAACTGTGTCAACTCTAGATTCCTAACTGGGGACAGAGTATTTATTTGTCTTGTGGAACAGACTGCATTAAAAAATGTGTTTATTCATTTTCCTTTTTCAACACAAACAAGAAAACCCAAAACTTTAGCAAAACAATACTCAAGCAACAGACAGTGACTCGTTAATAACAGTATCCATTTTATTAAAGTGAGTAAAATACCAACAAACAAAGAACATAAATAAATAAGTGGATAAAAGTAAACCCCGTTATTATGACCTGGAGGATATGTTGTATTCTAAATAATTCAGATAAAGTTCCCAAACTTTAGAAAATTGGCTTGAGTTTGGATGTGTTACTCAAGTGAAATAAAAATCAAATAGCACTTTATGCCTCCCTTAACATTTTGTTCCTTTTTGCTAATCAATTACAACAAAATCATATTTCTAGTTGCAAATGTAAGAATACAGAACAGTCTTTGATTTTCAACCATACACCTCTAGCAGGTAAGTCTAATATAAGAGACAATGGGTCCATCCACAGCTTCAGTCCCAGAATCTTTTCAATATCTGTCAAGACATTAGACCGATATTTCGATTTAGCAGCTTAAAGCATGACCAAAGTCAATGAGTTAGAGTGCCAATTTCCCTTTTACATTAAAGGCACATTGGATACGAACCAGTGTTAAAGTTATGTCTGCGAACATATGCATACCATGCAAAGTCTTAACGTCTATTGATTTAACACAGTTACAAACTGAGTTTGATTTTGCACAAGTCCATATACTTTCCTTCTCGTCTGTGTTGAATGTGACAGACAGTTTTTTCTCCCACTTTTCTCTGAGCCCTCGTAAAGCCATGACTGGATTTCGTTTCCAGAAAATGTACTGGAGGTACTCCAGTAAAACATTTAAATATCATCCGCATAAAGACTCTGAACCCATTTGCTAGAGTAAGCAATGAGTCATTGATCTTTGTATATTGTCAATCTCACATACCATAGTGTCCTCCCTCTGATGACTGAACCGGTAAAATGGTGTCCTTTGAGGCTCAAACTGTCTCTGATTTCCATCCACTATCACACTTAAGATAGCCGGATAAAGCAATGTCTTTACGCCCTGAATAGGGCCCTGAATAGGGCCCTAAATAGGGCGTAAACCCCCCCACCCCTCTGGTTTTTACGTGTTTCAGATACAAAATTAAAGTGAGGTGGACTAGCCTCAGTCAGAACTGCATCATTAGTATTTTTCTCGAGCCACATCTCAGTTAAAAACACAAAATGAAGGTTGTGCGATGAAATTAAACATTTAATCAAAAAGCTATCTCTGCTAAAGACATAACATTTAGTAAAGTTAGTTTCAGTGTGTGAGTATTATGGGCTGGCCGTTGCTGACGTGTAGTGGACACGAAGTTTGATAATTGTACGTCATTTTTAGGCTCTGAACTTTGACTAATCTTTGCCCGTAAGGTATGAAAATAGATGACGGAAGCTACTTATATATCAGGTCTCACCTTATCCTGGAAAGAGCCACGGTACACACAGTACTTCTGCCTGCACCTGGCACATATTGGTTTAAACTACGTAATATTTTACCTGGCGGTTTTGAGGGGCGGGTAGGGTTTTGGACGCTGGGTACTCGCCTCTTTCACCTGCTGTTTCTGCTGACTCAGGTGATGCAGGGTTTTCTTTAGTGGAGATCCAGGAGAACTCTGCAGGTCTGTCCTCATCTGGCCAGTGAAGAGCAAGTTGACATTTGGAGTTTGTGGTGGGTCAGGAGGTGAAGGACCACTGGTTGGGAGATCTGTGGGTGCAAGAATGGCATGGGGTCATCTTGGTGGCAACAGTGAGCAGCTCCTTCATGTGGTCAGTGAAGTCCAGCTGGCCTTGATTAGAGCTGGTCTTCATTGTTGCCTTTTAGTGCAAGAAGCATCTGAGAGAACTTCAGGATGACATCCTCTGGTGGGGGGGTTCTGGGGCAGACCTGTCTTAAGGTTACGACTCAGCTGTATCTTATAGTCTTGATTTAGTTTCTTTGGTAATGGTAATTCACAACCGAAAAGATTAGCTGCACACAACCTTACTCCAGATCTGTGGAGGCCGAGACCATCTGCTTTAAAATAATGTCTGCGGTCCAAGAAAAACTGAAAATATCAGAAAAACACCTCACACCTGACGGGCTAAGCAGCCTGATGAATCTCTCATCTCCTTGCATTGGCAGTAAAAGGCCAGTAATAAACACTTCAGCATACAGACTATTACTATAAATTTTCTCATTGACACATTTCTCAAAAGCAGCATTCCTTTTGCTACTGTACACTGTGTGTAATTCCCTCCAAGCACAAGAGGGCTGAAGTGGTATTCTTTACTGGCTTATTTTAAGTCGCTCTTGGTCTCTCAAAATCCACCGTGAAAATTAAATCATGTTTACAGACATAAATATTAATGTGACAAATAATACTCTGCAGAGCTTATTCAATAATCTTTACAAAGTAAACAAATTAATAAAATACCTCTTTGGCTGCATGCTGCAAGAAAAAAGTGAATCGTCTAAAAATCTTCAAGAGGATTTTTCATAAATGTGCTAAGCATCGACAGTGTAAAAATCCTAAATGATTGGCTTAATTGCCTCTCCTTCTTCTGTCGGTCACATTATGTATAATTTACATAAATGCAACTATTACACTGTGAACACAAAACCCCATTTTTAAGCCACTTCAAATAGAAAACTTGCAAAATCACACTTTCACCTCAAAATCGACCAGGCATTAGTTTCCCCTCGGCCTTTTACTTTTTGATTTTCATTTTTTGATTTTCCATTTTACCATGATGTGTGAAGAGACTTTATCCAGGTCATCAGCTGGAGATCCAGAGTTCTGAAGTGGTGGAAATCTGTTCTGTAGTGTAATGTTTGCTTGAGGAGGAGGCTTCTATTTAGTTTTTTTCAGGCTACCCAAGTCTGTGTCCTGCTTGCAACGGGTGTTGAGGAAGACTTAGATCATGGTTGTAGTGCATTCAGTTTGTCACCGATGTTTTACTCTTTGGTTTTGCTCCAAGCGCATTCCAAAGCAACATCCTCCTGTTTCCTATCAGCCTTGCCAGTGCTGTTTAGCTGTCATCTGCATGTTTAGTTAGAGGTAAAGTTGTATCATATCCACATATTCCTTTTATTTCACATTTACCTCTAGTCACTGGATTTTGGTTTTCAGCATGTCGATTTTCTGAAGGAGATTATAGCAGTCGTATTCAGAAAGTTCACCACTTAGGACCTGGAGACAGCACATGCTCAGACAGCTTCTGAACACCAAGGTGCTCTTCTCTTGTTTTAAGAGAACTTTTGGTAAACCTCGGACTTTGATCACCAGATAAGCGGGGATCAAAGCTGATTGGACACAGTTGATTTGGACTGTGAGTAGCACCAGAAATTCGTCTCCAGCTTTGTTCCACAGTCCTTTCACAGAATTTAACTGCCTTGCCAGTGGTTCACTGTAAATATCTATATTCCCCAAGAAATGGCAAAGCGTGGTTACAAATGTTCCTGGCTCCAATGCCAAATAAAAATAAAGAGCCTTCGGGCCACATATACGCAGACTAAAGACTCTAACAAAAGATGTGGGCGTGGACGTGTCACCTGCATGTGACGTCATTTCATCCCCTTGTGCGCACAACACTGGATATAACAACAAGTTTCATATATTTGGAAATGTGAACGACCCTGGAAAAGAAATAAACAGAATTTCAGAAAAAATCTAATTTGGGTCCCTCTGGCTACAGTGGGAACTGAGCCCAAGTGGCATGGATCACAGTTGAAAACATCATAATAATAAGCCTATAATAAGACTATAAAACATGAGACAGGTGGTATTTGTATTTTAGTGTATGATTAATCTGTTTTACATCAACAGACAATGAGACTGCTGTGTACACACTCATGCCAATGGTTATGGCCGACCAGCACAGGTAAGTGCCCTGTCTGATTATCTCTCCTCTTGAGTTGTTATACATTATATTGTGTTGTTCCAAAAGTGTAATTTTCCTTTTTGAATCTAATCTGTGCTTCTTCTGCTTTTTGAAAAAGGTCGGTGTCAGAGTTGCTCCTCAATTCCAAGTTTGACGTCAACTATGCCTTTGGGCGAGTAAAGAGAAGTTTGCTACACATCGCTGCCAAGTAAGATCCAGGACTGCTTACTCTGTTCAAACATTATTTGGCACAGCACTTGATATTTGGTGTTTATTCCCACTAAATATAACACATAGAATAGGGTTGTTATCTTGATGCCATTTTCAACTGCACAGATGCAAAATAGAAAAAATGTTTTTAAGCAAATAGAGCAAAAGTTAAGAAACTCAAGCCAAAAATCAGTTTGCATGGGGGTGCCTCCTTTTTTATAGCAATATTTTTCTTTTTTTTAAAGTGGTCTTTGGAAAGGATTGAGGATTGAAATCCAAAGCACCCTTCTTTAATTTTATATCAAAATGCTTCTATTTTATAGCCTTGACAGTCAACTCAGACAGACTTTAAGACTGTTGTATTACTCTCACAGGAAACCCATAAAAAGATCTACATCTATAAAAAATAAATGAATGTAGGATTTTATTTTAGAGGAGTTCCACCACGAAAAGTGATCGGTAATCAGAAATTCAGAAAAGAGGAATCCCAAATAACATATACTTATTCGTCAGCATTGGCTCTCTTAAATGCAAAAACACCAGAGGCAATGCATCATTTGACCCACAAAATGCCAATAGTTAGCAACTGCACATCATAATCTGTTAAAGTAAATGTTTTTAAACATTAAGTCAATATCATTATTGATTACTGATCACCACAGAGGACCTTCACACAAAAACACATTTAAGCCCTCATTCAGGCCTGGATGTTTATTTAAAATATCAAATAAACATTTTCCCTCGGTTTGAGTTCTCTTTGCCAAAATGCTTGTATGGTATTATGTGCACATTTATGTCCTCCTAATCCATCCTGTAGGTGTATTTACTTTTTACTCCAAGTCAGAAATCCTTTGCATCCATTGCGACTGGTCACACACATGCTCTTGATGCGTTATTCAAGCTATTTAAATCAAGAAATGTATTCACAAGATTAGAGTTCTGACTTAAATAATGTGCTTGTACATTAGTCTCAAGCATATGATGGAATTATTCTCTCAACCTCTCTGGGGAACTTGGTTGTTGCTACACCTACAAGTGCTAAATTAGACTTGAGTGTGTCAAGAATGTGACCAGGAGAGCTTCAGGTCAACTTCTCCGATAGTTTCCTTAGAAGATGTATCAAACATCATCTTCAGAGGTTCTGTGGAACCTCTGAAGATGATGATGCAATGAAGGATTTTGCATAAAATCAAGAATATTATGGACAACCCTGACCAACCTCTTTATGAGATTCTAATTGGAAAACAGAAACGGAAAACTTCCATCAGAGGCTTCTTCTGATTGGTTGTAAAACCGATACAGAAGATCTTTCCTGCCCTCAGCCATCACAATCTGTAGTAACTCCTTAACTAAATGAGTTGCACCAACATTTAATTTCCCTCTGAGATAAATAAAGCATTTTTTTATTTAATTAAAGATTACATTTGTATCTCTTATGGCCCAAGAACAGCCTGGAAACCCTGAGAAAGATTAAAAAGTGTCCCTGAGGTTTAGGTTCAGACACATAGAGAGATTTTGGGTACTGACAGTGCTTAAACTTTCATCTTCACTTTGCTTTTACATTTTTTAACTATCTTTTTTACAGCTGTGGCTCAGTGGAATGCCTGATTTTGCTGCTGAAGAGGGGAGCCAACCCAAATTACCAGGACATTTCAGGCTGTACGCCTCTTCACCTGGCTGCAAGGAATGGGTATAAACACATGTATACATACATATATATATAATAAATTGTATTAAATGTCTTAAATGAATGCATTCACTCCACCTGCCTTTTCCTTCCAAATTCCCTCAGACAGAAGAAGTGCATGGGCAAATTATTGGAATATAATGCTGATGTGAATATCTGCAACAATGAGGGACTGACTGCTGTGAGTAAACTATTATCCTATTGGTGGTTAATGTTGCATTTAGCTCTGTCAAAGTACCATATTGTTTTCTAAATGACTCAAATTAGAGCTGTAATCAACCAAATAAATTCTTGGTTGACTGAAGCCCTGAAATTTCTACTAGAAATCTACTATTAGGCTGGGGGAGGGGAACAAACGGCTCTGACGAGGTTTTGCATCACATGTATCTGCATTCAGCTTTTTTTAACCAACCATCTATTTTTATAAAATTCTGCCACACTGCTTGATGTCTGTGACATGGTTGATCGAGGAGAACTCACTTCAAATTAAACGTTCAAAATAATAATAAATATTCGGCAAACCTTTGGACGTTGGACGTGCTTCAATCTACCTGTCTCCAGCATTTTGGGCTGATCCAAAATAGTGATAACAAGGGGGGTGTCCTCTAAAGACAGGGTGCTGTGAACACTCCCATTAGCAGTTGGTACTTTTCTCCTGATGAAATGAACCATAGCCTGTATGAAATTACCAGGCAAATTGGTCAACCAATCAGAATTTTGGTTGACTCAGAACTACAACTTTACAGCCCTAACTCATAGGGCTGTCATGTTGAATTGACCACTGTCGTCATGATAAATGTGAACCTTTGCTGCAGATCCACTGGTTAGCAGTAAATGGGCGGACAGAGCTTCTGCACGATCTGGTGCAACACGTGTCTAATGTGGATGTGGAGGATGCCATGGGGCAGACTGCTCTTCATGTGGCCTGTCAGAATGGACACAAAACAGTAAGACACTCTTCTAAGACAGTGTTTTTCAACCTTTTTTGAGCCAAGGTACAGTTTTTCCATCGAAAAAAATCTCGAGGCACACCACCAACCAAAAATGTTAAACAAATCTGTGGCCGCCTATAGTAACACTATAGTTATTCTTATTTTATTCTTATCTTATCTTAAGTGTCTGGAATAGGAATCAAATAAACACAAAAATGTATTTTTATCATATTTGATATTTCTTCTTTCAAATTGCTCTTAACATGTCCACTTCAATATGCAAAATTATGAACTAAATCTAGTCATAAGGAATTATTACATGATTACGCCACCAGTCACTAGAACAGCACAGACACTCAAAAATGGAATATTATTTGCAGAAAATGAATTCCTTATCCAAAAAATGTTTTAAACCTATTAGATGAAATAGGATGATTTTCTACGGCACACCTGACCATCACTCGCGGCCCACTAGTGTACCGAGGCACAGGGGTTGAAAAACACTGTTCTAAGACATATTCAGTACACATTTCTGTAATTGGTGTAATAGGCGTACATTATATTTGGGCTTGAAATAACCTTCTCACAATTACATTTGTCAATTCAATGTACCTGTAGACAGTAGAGGTCCAAATTATTTGCCCCTGTCTGAATGTTTTTTTCGAAGATTTCCCATGCGCTGGTAAACGGATCAATATTTTTTTACTTCTGCTTTTAAAAAAATCCTAGTTTTATTTTGGATGTTTACATGAATTAACTTTGTACACAGAAAGGAGATTATTTAGCAGAAAACATAAAACTGCAAGGGTCAAAATGATTTGTCCCCATGATGTTAATAGTCAGTTGTGTATCTTTTTTGCTGGATAACAGCATGCACTTGTAACAAGTCCATTCTTCCTTGGCAAATGTTTCAAGCTCTTCCAGATTTGATAGTGTTTTAGCATGGACCCTGGGATTCAAGTCGGGACTTTGTGCAGGCTAGTCAATAACATTCACTGGAGGTAGCTCTTCACATGTTTTGGGTCGCTGTCATGTTGGAAGACAAAGCGACGACCCAGACCCAGTTTTGTTGCTGATTCCTTTATGTCTTCTTTCCAAACTTCCCATATCCTTTTTTTCCATAATTCCTTCAACCTTGACAAGATCCCAGGTTCCGGTAACAGTGAAGTATCCCCACAACATGATACTCCCGGAACCGTGCTTAACTGTGGGGACGTTGTTCTTTGGGCAATGCGCATCTCCCTTTTATCTCCAAACATTAGCATCTTCTCTATGGCCAAGGAGCTCTCCATTGTCTCATCCGACCATAGAACATGCATCCATGGTGCAGAATCTTTTTCCAGGATGTCCTTAGAATGTTTCAGTCTGGCTTGAAGGTGTCACTTCTGTAAAAGTGAAGTTTTTCTTTTTTGCCTGCATCCACGCAGCCCATTTCTGTATTGGGGTTTTGTGATTGTTTTCTTATACACTATAATTCCTGAATTAGCTAAGTAATTAACTCGTGTTTTGGTAGTTTTGCTGCGGTCTTGAGGCACATCTCTCACTTGTTTTCTTTTAAATATTTCGCTTCCTACGTCAGCAACACTTATTCTGTGCTGTGTGGTTCTTTTGCATGACGCTCTCTTAAGTGACAGATCAAACTCTTAATGAGGTTTTTACACTGTGTGTAAAGTCTAGGAAAACCCAGAGTCAACGGTATTAGTCAATAGTTGACTGGTTACAAGCTATGAGCATTACAAATATAAAGCACATGATTGCTCAACAGTGGTTTATGCTTTGGCTCAATAAAAAAAGTCAGTTTTTATAGGGCCTAATAATTTTGACCCTGGGAAATTAGTTTATTTCTCTGTGCAAAGTTAATGTAGAAATCCAAAATATAACTAGGATGTTTGGAAAAGCTGGATTAAAATAAAAATCTGTTTAGCATCACCTGGGAAATTTTCGAAAAACCCTTGAAACATTTCATATTTGGACCTGAACTGTATTGAGGATGTATTACAATGATTTAGAATGTGCCACATTATGAGGCTGCTACTGCTGGGCCTTCCTTGAACAATATTGAAAAGATATAATGCAAAAGATGAAGTTATTTAAAAAAAAATGCAGAAAATGATAATGGTGTCTCATCTGGGAGTTTGTGATGATCTGTTTTGGGGACAGTATCCATCATTCCATTATCACCACTTATTCCTAGTGAGCTGCAGCCTATCCCAGCTAGCATACGGAGAGGCGGAGCACATTCTGAACAGGTTGTCCATCACAGAGCCACACGGAGACAAACAACCACACACAATCACATTCACTCCTAGGGACAAATTGGAGTCTTCAGTTAACCTAACATAATTTTTTGGACAGTGGGGGGTAGCCAGAGTACCAAGAGGGAACATTTAACAGTGTGTTATGTACAGTGTGTTATGTGAACATTTACTTTGTGAACATTTACTTTACCTATACAGACGGTGTTGTGTCTTCTGGACAGTGGAGCTGACATCAACAGGCCAAATGTCTCTGGAGCCACACCTCTTTACTTTGCCTGCAGGTACCGTCCCAAGTCAAACAATGTTTTGTTCACACTTCGTTTTGTGTTCTTTAATCAGAGGGGCCGAAATCCTGGCCACAGCCCCAACAGCCAGTCTGTTGCACTTTATTTACTTCGCTCTCAGTTCCCACCAATCTGAGATAATATTTTTTTGTGATATTACTGTATTAAAGCTTTTCTTGTAAGTACAGTGTTGACAAAGTTTGTCTTTATCATTCATCAGTCATGGTCAAAGAGACACGGCACAGATCTTGCTTTCACGAGGAGCTAAATACGTTGCCGACAAGAATGGAGTCACGCCTCTGGATCTCTGTGTGCAGGTGAACATTTCAGAACAATCTAAGCTCACAATGGTTATACTGATTTTTTTGTGATGGTTTCTACTTTTCATTTACGGTTTATCCGTCCTGTGTTATCCTCAGGGCGGGTATGGGGAGACCTGTGAGATTCTCATCCAGCACCATTGTAGACTGTTCCAAACCCTCATCCAGATGACACAAAATGATGACATCAAAGAAAACATGGTAATGTTTTTGTCAGTGGAGTCAATCAATGCCCGTTCTATGAGTTGCAAACTAAATTCTGGTTATGTTTCGTGTGTGCAGCTCAGGCAGGTGCTGGAGCACGTTTCTCAGCAAAGCAACAACTACCACCAAAAGATCTTGACCAGTCTGGCTGAAGTTGCAACTACTAATGGACACAAGCTTCTAAGGTAAAATAACATACCTATGTATTCTGTAATTGTGATTGATTGATACTTTTATAGGCTAACAGCATAGTATAGAATTGCTGCAGTCAGTCCCCAGTACATCTGGAGTTGTGATATGTGGAGCTTAGCTCAGCATGAAGCAAAGACTATATACTAAGTGTAGTACTTCCTGTTTCCAGATAATATAACTGTCATAATTTTCAATTTTCATTGATCAACAAACATTCGTTAAAAAGAAATAGAAAGGAGCTGAATGTAAGCTGTGGATACTCTTGCAGACAGTGTGTCCTCCTTTTTTTTCTTAAGATATTGGATTCAGTACTGTGTAGTACTGAGTGCAGCATTCTCATTTAAAATCAACTTAAAGCTGTAAGCTGGTACAGATAAAAAAGAAAAAAGCAAATGCAATGAATTTAATCTTATATCTTTTTCAGCTTTAAAAAAAGAAATAATTTACAGAAAATTCAATTTAGTTTGTTTGACACAAATACTGTATATTTTGTGGCTTTTGTCTTTGTCCCCACAGTCTGTCCAGTAGCTATGAAGCTCAAATGAAGAGTCTGCTGAGAATTGTGCGCATTTTTTGCCATGTATTTCGCCTTGGGCCTTCCACACCAAATAATGGCAATGACATGGGGTATAATGGTAACAAGACCCCTCGCAGCCAGGTATTTAAGGTACGTAGGAGGTTCACACACAGAATTCTGGGATTTGTTGGAGTGTCACTAACGCAAAATAATACCATGATGAGAACAATTATTAGAATGTCCGACACAAGTCTCCCAAAGCCCCACTCGTGCCTCAAAAATAACTTTTGCCTGTTGGCTCATTGGACGGTTCTCAGGTTTTCCTGTATTGACTGTTGGTATCCAATACTTGGGAGATTAATTATTTTGTAGGCCGTATATTCTAGGCAAGAAGTTTGGGGATAGCACTATTGCTCTAGAGAAAAACTTATCTTTTCCTTAGACAACTGTATAACTTTTATTCAAGTCTATCTTTACTATTTCTATGCCTATACATATAAAGTCTATCAAGCTAAAAGTCAAGCTAAAAGTTTTAACGTATTAAGGTTCCACAGTCCATATGCTGATATCTAATTTATCTTTTTGTCTTAAGTCTTTGGGCAAAACTGAATATTTCCCAAACAAGAGACTCAGTCAGAGTTTTATGAATTATTTGTTACCCTCTCCTTGCTGGGTGTGGACAACTGAAACCCACGTTAAATGAACCTGGTTTTAATTATATTTCAATGTGACTGTGATCAATTTGTTTTTCTCTGTGCACTTAGAAATCTGTATCCAGTAATTAGATTTTTTTCTTTTTGCTATATTAAGTACTAGTCAATTAAATGAACTTGTACTTATAAAGCGCCTTACACTACATAGCACTTACAAATATGCTTTCTTTCAATGCACAATTAACCAGCGAAAAATATATGTTTTTATTGTTTAGTTACTCTTTGGACAAGCCTTTTAAGAATAGAAAAAAGCTTTTTGTGTCTTTGAAAATAGTTTTAATTCCATCCAAGATACCAAGATAATGTCTATGAGCTGCAGTCGTTTAACGTCACCCACAATGACGTTGTCTGTTTTTTTCATTTGAATCTAGCATGCCTCTCACCAAATATTCATTCATCTGCAGCCCTTGGAGCTACTCTGGCACTCACTGGATGAGTGGCTGGTGCTCATTTCCACAGAGCTGGAAAGGAACAGAAAAAACCCATCTTCACCCCACTCCAGCAGCGAGATAGCTTCTCTGCTTCTTAAACAGCGTGAGGCTGACCACTCTGGCACTATGCCCAAACTTCCCTCCTTGCTGGACCATCAGATAGTTATGGAAGCAGAGGCCTACACCGACGGGGAGGATGTGATCTCCATGACTTCTAATCGGCTCAGCGCTGTCATTCAGGCCTTCTATCTGTGCTGTTCATGTCAGATGCCACAAGGGTCAGTATCTAGCTTTCCAGGTCAATTCTTTGTAACTTCCATTTTGTTTTAAGCTATAAATACGGTTTACTCACATTTTGATGTCATTGTGGCGTTGTTTTTCCTCTAAACTTCTGCGTTTAATGTATTGGGTCACACCAACTTATGGCCACATGCAGTCATTGTGCTGCATTCCACAAAATATGTTTACCTACCGCACAAAGCTTGCTGCTAATTCTGAAAATGCTTGAATATATTGATTGATATCTCAAAAAGTGCAACTCATCAGTTTTACAGCTACTAAAGTACCACAGTTTGGAACAAGAAAAATGACCCAAAACATCTAATTGAACCTAAAATAACTTTAAGCAAAGCAGCGCTTCAACCTCTTTTGACTCAGTTTTTAGGTTTGTCATACATTTCATAACCATAATTACCTTATTTAATCATTACGTTGATAGCATGTGGAAATTCAGACTTGTATTCAAATGTTTTCGCCTTCATTTATGAATTTTGTTATACTGAGTGAAAGGGCCATCATCTCTTTTTTCTTTTTTTTTTCTAGGGAGGTAAAACTCATTTACATCAAGTCTCTGTGACACCTGAGTCTGCTTTTCCGTCACACCATGATTTAGTCAAATTAATCCCCACAGACAAAATTGATTATCTTGGCTCCATGTAACTACCATCCCATACGGACTGTAATTGTAACAGTGGAAAGTAAATCTTTTTCCCTTTTTTGAGAATTTTTCTATATATTCATATTTAGGCTCATATGGAACAAGGAAGGTACTTGATATGATGATAAGCAACAGGATGCTCCTGTTTTTGGCCAGGTTGTAAGAGCTCTCATCATTTCTTTGTTGATTTGGCCTTTTAATGGATAAAAAATGTCCCCTCTTGTCATCTGACGTTTGTTTCAGCAGTTTTTTTCCAATGTCCTTTTCCATTGCTTCTCACACCATCCCCCTCTCCTCTCATTCTTTTCTGACTCAGAATGACATCACCTCACTTTATAGAGTTTGTCTGCAAGCATGATGAAGTGCTGAAGTGCTTTGTAACCAGGTGAGTGAATATTGTACTTGGCCATACATCAGCCTCCTGACACATTAGACATTGTTTATAAATGACGTTTCTAAAATTGTTTTTTTTCAATTTCCTCTAACTTCTATCCCTGTCTTCTCTTTTAGGAATCCAAAGATAATCTTTTACCATTTCCACTTTCTGCTGGAGTGTCCAGAGTTGATGTCACGGTTCATGCATATCATTAAGGGTCAGGTGAGACATAAATTACAGACTAAAAAAATACAAAACAAGTTGGTATTGTTTAAAACCACTTTTCCCCTTAGGCTAATGTGTATCAAACTAACAATTAGCCTCAGGCATGTCTGGGGAACTTTTTTCTCTGTTTAGATTAAGTAAATTTAAGTGATTCCCCCTGATTAGCTTTTAATCATCATAACTGAGTGCACAAAAATTACGAAGCCATGAGAATAAAAAGGGCAATTTCACATGCCACACACACGATCTTTTCATATTTATCTTGTCCATTTCCCCATAAAAACTATGCATCTCTTTGTGTGTGAGAAAACTGTCTGTCTATCCCTCTCTCTTTAGATATCTCCATCTATCTAAATTCTGTTTTCTGACTTCGAAGACATAAATCTTTTTCATTTTCAATTTTTATGGACCGTGGCCATCAAAATCGTACATGTTCAAAACTCAGTTCTTGAGATAATGTAATGACTAATATACATAAATTAGTATACAGTGTACTGAAATGCTGTTGATTTAAAATAAATGAAGAAATCTCTAACTTTCACAGGACAACCCCTTCAGTATCACGTTAACATTTCACCCTAAGCAGTAACACGTTTACTCTAAAATTCCACTCTCCAGACGTCACACATTTAAATTGGTGTGCTTCATTCATGCCTTTTTACCCAGGCATAATTAGGGTTAATAGGGTTAACTGTTTTAATAACAAACTTTATCTAGGTGAATTTAATTCAGTCTCCTGATTAGTTTCTTGCACACCCTCGCAGTACTAAGTTTAAAAGCCTTTCGTGCTCTGTGTTCAGTCAACTCCAAACCCTCAGGGAACAATTGCATGTATTATGCAAATAAACTCAGTCCTCATCGCTGTATTAGAGATGGGTGTCTCAGCACTGAAGGCTGCAAGACGGCAAAATCAAGTTAAATCAAGTTTAAAGCACACAAAGTGGTAGTTCTGTGCCATACAGCTCGTTCTGAAGTTTTTCTTTTCCCTTCAGCCATTCAAAGATCGATCTGAGTGGTTCTACGAGCATTTGCTGGCTGACCAGCCAGATTCAGACATGGTTCATCGTCCAGTCAATGAGAGTGACATCTTGCTTATCCACAGAGGTTTGTGTTGTCCTCACAGCTGAACACTCTCACTGCTGACAAACAGCTTTAGTATTAGCATTTTACCACATGAATTAATTACAAAAGTGTACGTTTTGCTTCAAGATCAATTAGTATAACTTTTTTTTATTGTTTCTTGAATTTTTTTAGATGGTTATTTGAATTGATATAAATGATATTCATACGAATAACATGAAGTGCTAATAACTGAGTATGAAATTGTTATGGTTAATATGCAGATGTGTTTTGTTCACCACATCATGGAAACGGTTTTATTTTTTATACATAAGGTAGTGAGGATCCTGAGTTCTGGATCTATATTGCCTACTTCTCCTAGTTATGAGTGTGGAGGAACGCAGGAATATTACACCTTAGCCATGTTGATACGTTATTAGACATGATGTGTGCTGCTTGGTCTAATAAATGGCACGTCAGAGATTTGCTTCTCAAAAGAAATTTGGTGCTATATGAACAAGGTGACTTAAACCAAGAAGAGGACAGTTTAATGGGAGATATTTTAAACATGTAGTGGATCATTTTCTTTTTTGGAGGCATCTCTCACCATGTTTAACCAAAATATCAAATATCCTGATTGTAAAAGAGGTTATATTCAATAAAATACAAATAAAAAACAACACTGAGGTCTAATAGTGCTTGAATGTCGGTGAGATCTAAAATAATTTAAGGAAGAATAATAAATCATAAGCATAAATATATTTTTTTAGCTTAATATGTTTGGATTGGATGCCTTTTAAATCTTTATTTTGTCTGAATAATGCCAGTGGATGTAAAAATAAAAGGCAAAAGGTGAGAAAAAAAAGTCCTGAATGCAGACTGAGGCCAAAGTTTGATAATTTGTCCTGACATATATATATATATATATATATATATATATATATATATATATATATATATATATATATATATATATATATATTTATATTTATATGTGTGTGTGTGTGTGTGTGTAGATATATGCAGACTTTGTGTGACACCTAATCCCGTTGTTCTGCTTTACACAGACTCAATATTTAGGAGTAGCTGTGAAATGGTTTCCAAGTCCACCAATGAAAAGTTAAAACAAGGTATTGCCGTTCGCTTCCACGGTGAAGAGGGAATGGTGAGTTTCATTCAACCTTTTCAAATAAATATGGTGTAATGTTTAAATAACAACAAACCAGTCACACTGAGATTCTTGTGTTATCTGTTTAGATGATGCTGACATTTCACAAAGTTTTGCATTTATTTACAAATGGATGGGCTTCTAATCCTATGGTCATTTGGTTTTAATTTGTTTTTGTGTTTCAGGGTCAGGGCGTGGTTCGGGAGTGGTTTGACATCCTGTCGAATGAGATGATAAACCCAGATTATGCTCTTTTCACTCAGTCCGCCGATGGTACCCGGTATTAACTTGACATTGAAATTGAATGGTAAATATTAGAAAAAATGTTCACGTTAATTTGTAGTTTGTCTTTTTACTCCATAGGCACAACTTTTCAGCCCAACAGCAACTCCTCAGTGAATCCGGACCATTTGAACTACTTCCAGTTTGCTGGTCAGATTTTGGGTCTGGCTTTGTATCACAGACAGCTGGTTAACATCTACTTCACCCGTTCGTTCTACAAACACATACTGGGTTTGTAGGCTTTTAATCATGTCTGCAGTCATTTGCCTTTAAAATGTTTAATTCCAAACAAAGACTGAAAAGAGCTGCTTGCAATTCAGTTGTGTGTTGTTAAATAATTGTAATACCATAATATTAACAAATAATGTTTTCTTATTACAATAACGCCTCTTACTGTTACCAATTCCCAGATTCTTTTATAAGTAATACTATAAGTAATATTGATCACAAATATCCCTGACCAGTTGGTGGAAGTAATGTACCCTAGATTAGTTTCCAAGATACTAAGGAGGATGCATTAAATAACATTGGTGGACGAGAAATGTTAGTTTACACTGATGATCTCTATAGTGTCACATTATGTTGTCATGTCTAAATTATAAGACACATTCATACATGGGTTACTAGATGTTTTGGACCATACTAATTTACCAAGTGTAGTTATAAAGGACTGCACCGACTACATCTTTATTGGTCTTTTTCAAGCACAATATCCTGTGTTATTTTAGTTTATGCTTCTCATGAACTATTTCGTAGTTCCATTCCAATCTGTTAAAAAAAAAGAGAAGTTCACGTTTATGGTTCACCATTTCAGTTTTTAACTTAGTCAAAGTTAGCTTCACTGCCTTTTTTTTCTAGAACTTTTTCTAGAAGTTTATAAGTAAAGTTGAAAAAGACTGATTTTAAAAAGAGGATTTTTTTTGTGTTGAGAAAACCTCAAATTCTATTACAAAAAATAGATATGTACCTGGGAAAGATTTCCGTCCATCCATCAATTTTCTATTCCTGCTTATTTCTGGCTGTAGTGTGCCATATACTTTACAACTAAGCCTTCAGTGGTGCCCCATCTGTATCAATTCACCCCTCAATAACCACTATATGGCTATAAAAATCACCTTATCATGCAGAAGATTTTACTAATTTGAAAATAAGAAACATTTTATTTAGCAAAAACTCAACTGGTACACAAAATCCATCCTGCTGTCTTTTTTATTGTATTTTGTATTGTTATTAAGTTCCATCAAGAATTCCTTTGCTATCATCATCAAAGCTGAAAGTCGAGCTTGCCCTGTTGGGTTTCTGGCATAAGCTTGAATTCGCTTTAGGGCTGAAAACGTCTGCTCAACAGAAGCAGTGGACACTGGGATGGTTACGGCCAAACACACAAATGTGTACAGCAGCCCTCTCATTCAGATTTTTCTGCTGAAGAAAGTCCAGGAGATCAGTGGGAGATTTTCCTGAAAAAATCATCCATGGCATACATTACAGTCAGTTCTGCTCTCAGCAGAGACAGAAAAATGCACCTTGGCTCTGTTAGGTGGGAGAAGGCTGCATGTGGGAATTTTCTCAGGTATTTTTGAAACTTCTGGGGGTCGAAGAGGGTGACAAACATTAGTTTTTCATGGACTGGAAAACTGGTCGGTTGCTGGCAAATATCCAGAATCCTGCCTTGGAGTTGGTGTTAGAGCACAGGAGGATCTTAGAACGCCTGCAGTGAGTTCAATGGCCTCGCAGATTTCCTTCTATCTGCTCCTCACTCGCTTAACAAAACTCCTTAAGCCTTGCCAGACAAAACGGTACATCCATTTTATTGGTTTTGTAATACTGCAAAGAGCACATCTGAATACTCAAAAAATTTGATCAAATGTCTGAAGAAAAAATCTGAACAAAACAAAAATCAAACTCACCCAAACATTCTTTAAATTTTCCGTTCATATTAAAATAATATTTGGAGCTCTGATTGACCCAATCATAGTAGAAGAAACAGCACTATTTTAAATGAAAATCTTAAGACATCTGACTCCAAACAGCCCATAGACAAAAGCCAGATTAAATACTAAATCCTAGTACATGGTTTAATTCCAGACTTGCTTCAACATCATCCATTACCATTTTGAATTCAGAAACTTTCTGACCTAAATGGAGCTATGCATTTACAATACTAATGGGTCTCTGAGCACATGGCTTTGGCTCTCCAGGTTTTTCCCACCATCCAAAAATATGCATGTTAGGTTAACTGGGCAACCCCACTTGTCCTAAGGGGTAAATGTGAGAGTGTGTGGTTGTTTGTCTCTGTGTGGCCTTGCAGTGACTGGTGACCTGTCCAGGGTGTACCCCCCCTCTCGCCTGTTGCCAGCTAAAATAAGCTCCAGCCCCCTGTGACCCTGTTGGGAATAAGCAGTATAGGAAATGGATGAATGGACTTATAGTGACTAAGGACATGTCACTAATACTAGATTACAAGAAATACATAGAGATTTCACAATTTCTTGACTTGGTTGTTCGGCCAAAATTATTTTTAATTATTTGAAATTGGAAAATCTTTAGAAACTATTTTTAAAAGGACACAGATTCTCTCTATATTTAATGTAATTTTGTTTCAATACCTTCCTATCTTTTATTTTTTAAGGTATCCCTGTTAACTACCAAGATGTGTCATCCATTGACCCAGAGTATGCTAAGAATTTGCAGTGGATCTTGGATAATGACATCAGTGATCTTGGTTTGGAGCTCACCTTCTCTGTAGAGACGGATGTGTTCGGGGCGATGGAGGAAGTTCCACTTAAACCCGGGGGGACTAGCCTCCTGGTCACACAGGAGAACAAGGTCAGTCACCACAAACAGAGTTTAATGGTGCAACAATATTTGTGTAAAGCCTCATTTTTTTAATCTGGATATGAATTGACTTATCAGTTGTGGGCATGGAAGAATCGTCTATCTTTATTACAAAAGAGTTATGCTTGCTTAAAAGGTTTTACATTAAAGATAGTAAAGAAAATATTTATATTTCATATAAAGGGAATAAAAATCAGCTTTTGAATTATAAAAATGATATTATTTCCCCCCAAAATTATATATAGCAGTTTTATTGTGGAAGTAATGGATTAATTTGCATGTAGGAATATTGAAATACAGTAATTGAAAAGTTAGTGTTAAAAGTATTACGACAGTAATAATTCTACACAGTGTATAATTTCTGATTAATTATAATTATTTAAGATTATCAGTGCATTTTGTTGGGGTAGTTGCTACCCTTTTTTCACTCCAGACTGCAAGCTCTTTGTCGTTGCTATGTTCTGGTATTTTCTTGTAATTTCATTTTATGTCTATTTCAGTTTTTTTCTAATAAAAACAAAAAAATCTTTTTTACAGCAGCTTTGCAAAGTCTTCTATTTTTAGGTGTCTTCTATTTTCTAGTTTTTGTAAGTAGTTATAGAGTCACTTTGTCATGCAGCACAATGTGAGTTCTAAAATATGTTTATGTGGACTTGGATTTGGCCTGGACAGATTCTCAGTAAGTTTGAGATTTGTAAATGAACTATGTAACAAACTAACAATATCAAAACAGAAACTGTCGCTTCGGGTATCTCTCACATTTGGATAAGCCAAATCATTTAGGCTCAATCAACAAAAGTTAGAGCTACCCATTTCTCTCATATCTTTTTCGACTTTTTTGATTTCTTGTGGCGGATAAAATATGTTGTTATAGGCTTTAAAGTATGTGTTGTGAGGTCACGTTACATGCTACTATTGTGACATGATACTAAATAGAATTTGAACCGTTATCTCCTTGTATTGTTGATCTTCTATGAGCATAACACTTTCCTCACTAGGGTCATTTTGTGAACAGACCAGATTTGAGAGCGCAGTACTGTCACATACCTGCAGATGGCGATATGTATACGGCAAAGAGCTGTGTCTAGTAGTAAAAGGAACTTGACGTGTTCTCTCTTTCTTTAGTTTGTATTTTTTTAAGGAATGTGATCCCTTTGTGTCATTTCGCAGGCCGAGTATGTCCAGCTGGTCACAGAGCTGCGGATGACCCGAGCCATCCAGCCTCAGATAAATGCATTCCTGCAGGGATTCCACACTTTCATCCCCCCCTCACTCATTCAGCTTTTTGATGAGTACGAATTGGTACGTCTCCCCGCTCTGAGCCCTTCTCTCTCCCATTATAGTCTCACTCATTTTACTGTGATGTTATGTTCATGCATTTAGCAGACGCTTTTATCCAAAATGGATGACAAAAAAATACATATAATCACAGAAATATACAGTTGTTTGTATTGGGTTAATATTTGTTGTTTTAACAGAGTCAAAGTAATAATAAGAAAAAAAGGGAAAAAACATTTTTAGAATTACTACAAAGCAAAACGAAATCTTTTTTTAAAATAGTCTTTTACTTTTTGGCACCATTTTTGAACTATTTTTTTCCCTCTTAATGAATACAAGGCAAGACATTTAAAAATAGGTTTCTGTTTAAAACATAGATAAATTATTCATAATGAACAAGATTGTAGCCAATACTAACTAGTAGACAATAGATGTAATAGAAAAATGTCATCTTCTGTTCTTGTCTTCTAATCTTCTGCTTATGGTATTTTAACAAATCCAGAAACTTCCATGATGTTCTTTACTGTAATAACTGAGAAAATAGGTAAAAAAAATGCAGACATACTAATCTTATTCCACTACGTGCTCCATTAGTAGACGTTTTAAACATTTTATATGACAGTCTGTTGCTTGTTCGATGCTAGAAAATCAAACTATTCACACGTGACTGGTGATAGATGATGTTTAGTTTTGGTTGATTTATTTTTAGTTTTCACTGATCTAAAGAGAATATTGTTTTCCTGTTGTCATGATCAGAGTTTCAGTTTCAATGCAGCCTTCTCAATAATGTGTTCTGAGACTTTCAAGATTTAAAGTTTTCTAATTTAAAAATGATCCAGATTATGCTTACATTGTGATTTAAAGTATTCTCAGTAGTGGCTGGTAATGCTATGAAAATTGATGGTATGACTTGGACATAGAAAAATGTATTTTCCCCTTTCTTTTCTTTTACAGTTAGAACACATTGTGTGCTCTTGATTGATCAATCTTCTCTTCTTTTTAGCATACCTCTCATCTTGTGGCTTGTTTTCATGCTGTGATGCTGTGTGTGTGTTCTGTGTGCAGGAGCTGCTGTTGTCAGGCATGCCAGAGATTGACGTGGAGGATTGGTGCAGGAACACCGAGTACACCAGTGGTTACGACCCTCAGGAACCCGTCATCCAGGTGAGCCAGTGTCACCTGACTGGAGAATCAATTAAAAGGGTTTCTCCTGACACTGATTAATTATCTTTTGACATTATAATTAAATTATTGCTAATTCAACAAATATCACTATGACTTATTAAACACTATACCAGGAAAGCTACATTACCTAAGCTATAAGATGTAGTGATGAAACATTTTGGAATATTCCGTTGAAAAGTGCACAAGTATTTGTGCTATTATGGATGTAAATAGTCAAAAACCTTCAAATATCTTTATCTAAATCTATTTTGTTTGGATGTTTTCTGAGCAGAGAAATGTTGATGTCCCCATCTTCATCCTTTTCATTTGCATATTGGTCATTTAATGATTTGACTTTAATGTTGGATGTGAAATTGGGCTGTCAATGTGTTTACACACAGTTTAATCCGATCTTAACTCGGATTTGCCGTAAATTCCAAAATGTGCCACAATCTGCTCCTCCCTTCCTACTTTGCAGTGGTTTTGGAAGGTGGTAAGAGGACTGACTCAAGAGGAACATGTTCTCCTGCTTCAGTTTGTCACTGGAAGGTGTGTCTTCAAAAGTCTGACTGTGCTGTTTGGCAGAGAATGCTAATGTCGTTAACCACATAGCTCTATTGTATCTAACATGTTTGATTTTGACCTTAGTTCTAGGGTTCCTCATGGTGGATTTGCTTATCTGATGGGTGGCAGTGGTTTACAGAAGTTCACTATAGCTGCATTGCCATATACCTCCAACCTGCTGCCTACCTCCAGTACTTGGTAATCCCTTTTTATTTAAATTGATCATATTCCTCACTTTCCCCGTTTTGCTAGCTAACTGCATAGGCTGGGCAGCTGTCAGTCAGTTTGGTTTTGACAGAGATTTGAATATTTTCAAAGATTCTATTAGGCAACAATCATACCTATATTTGGAAATTGTTTATAGAAACTATAAAAACTATATACAGTGGGGGATATAAGTATTTGCCCCCTTGCTGATTTTGCAGGCTTGCCCACTTACAAAGAATGCTTATTTTTCTTCATCAGATGGTTATCAATTTTTATAAATTAATATGATGTGATTTTCTGGAATTTTCTTTGGGATTCTGTCTTTCACTGTTAGAATGTACATATGATTAAAGTTATAGATTGTTGCATTCTTTGTACATGGGCAAACCTGCAAAATCAGCAAGGGGTCAAATACTTATTTCCGACACTGTATATATATATATACACACATATTGCATATATATATATATGTGTGTGTGTATATCTGTATACATATATATAATAATGTACTTTTTTAAGACAAGACGGTAAGATATTTTACTGTTTTCATTTTTATTTTTCACAAAACACTGAAAACAAGTCCCATGAGAATTTGAATTTAGATAAGCCACAACACATTGAACGTGACACAATAGAGATCAAGCACTTCGATGAATTTCTCTGCCAAAAGATGCTTCATTGAGCGTACTGTTGGACTAACTGACTACAGTTTTTCCCACAGATTTCCCCCCTGTCTAATGACACTATCATGCCACTAAACATCATACTAGTTCAGGAGAAGGAAAGAATTCTTCACTAAAACTGAGTTGCAGCACCATTTAATTTTCTATAATTTTACTGATTCCAATGGTCTTCTTTCTTACTACCTTGCACAGTTTAGATTGATACTTTTGTATTTAAATTTGAATTAAAGGTTGGATTTTAGAGGTAATGTTGGCCTGATTTAGTGCCATTCTTACTTTAATGACATTGTATCTGCAGACTTCAAAGTTATGATCCTAATTTTCTTCACAATTTCAAATTGGATTCTTCTACATTCTTACTCCCTATAAGCAACTTCTTCATGACTGCATGTTCGACTCGTATTATAAAGCGCTAGACATCATTAGGTCCCTTCAGCAACAGTGTCACAACAAAAAAAGTCACGTATTAGTAATTTAGTTATATTTGGGGGAAATAATTAAACATCAATTTCTTCACCTCACCAGAGCTGGCTATTAATGACCACAACGTTTACACATGCTGACTCCCACCATGTCGTATTGCTCATCCAATCATGTGCTCTTCCTGCATCACTAGTATCAACATGCTTAAACTCCCCGAATATCCTACCCTGGAGGTTCTGAGGGACAGACTGCTGGTAGCTCTGCACTGTGGGAGCTGTGGATACACCATGGCATAAACCGCCCTGCCTTCCTGCTGCTGTGAGGATGTCCAGGCTCACACAATCTTCATTGTTGTTTTTTTTGTTGTTGTTTTTATTGTTTGTTTTCTTGCCCTGCACAATTCAGTTTCATTTTTGTTAAATGAACAAGGGACATGATAGTTGATGAAGCATCACAAGAGACAAAACAGACACTACGGGTTTATGAAGCAGAGTTTGAGTTGTTTGATGGATGTTGGGAAAGACATCACTCATCCCATATAACGGTTTTGAAGTCAAATTACACTGTACAACTGTCTAAATGGAACAGGAAAATGAACATACAGGCAATCAACTGACATCAAATCATAGGTAAGGAAAAAATGATGTAACAAATTATTTGTTTTTTAGCATTAATCTCTGCCATAATGTGTTTGTTCTTTGGGCTATCGGTCTGTTTGAACAACCAAAAACATCTTTAGTTGGGGCTGATTGCAGGTTTAAGATATTTCTGCAAGCACAGTATCAATGTTTTTGTTTTTTGTCTATTATTGTTTTTACATCTTTTAGAAATGTGTTAATCTCATGTTTAGTTTTTTGACATCGTAGTAAGCTGTAAAAGAGTTCTCCAAGCACTTTGCTGTTCGCTGTTGGAAATCTTGAGAGAAACGTGTTCTTCAGTATTTTAGTTTGCTGCAGTATTGCCATATGGTACACAACATAACATAGAGATCATTTAAACAACTGCAGTGGGGAACCAAAAGCTGACAGTGACTCCATTATCGCAGTTTTTATTACGGATGGACAATGCCACCGCAAAAATACTTACAATTTCTCAACCATGGTTACTCTTTTTTTCAGAGTGAGATGAAGGTAAAAATAGTAGTGGATGTACAGGAATCACATTTCAAACTTTAAGTGTTCAATTCAAGCCATAAACAATGATGCGTTTTGATGTGGTTCAAACCTCACAAATGAAAGGTGTCTGAAAACAGTTGTTGGTCTGTAGTTATATTTTGCCACACTGCCTTTCTGGGTGATATCAATCTGTTTTTAGTTTATCTAAGCTTATGAAATCACTGCAAGGATACAGTTCGACGACCAAAATAAATTTGGGCACGTAAAGATGTGTATTATGTCCGTGTTGAATAGAAATGTCTGTAGCACCTAGTGCTACTTTTTAAAAATGTTTTACAAGCAGCAGTCTTGTGTTTTTGTCACCTCAGAATTAGGTAAAAACATGAATATCTGGTACATCATTTGATGATTTTACATCTGCTGTTTTTTTTATAAATCTAAGTAATATGTGTAGTAACATGACATAAAAAGATTTATAAACCATTCTTGATCATCTGCATGTATGGTCTCCATGGAAGTACAACAAGGGTAACAAAGGGATTAACTGCAGATAGGCCTGTTCAGTTTTACATTTAAATAGCTATATTCGTAGCAAACACTTTTGAAAAATTATGATATGTAGTCAACAAGGCAAACGGAGACACATGACAAAAATAAAATGGAGATAATTTACATAGGAGTCATACTTATTAAGACTGGATTATCCTTTTGTACATAGACTTTCATTAAAAAAGAGTCACCTGCAAACTATGTGTAAAGATCTTATCCAACTTGATCTGAAAATTTAGCAGAATACATCATTTGAATTGCCTAAAATATGTTAAACGGAAAAACAGAAACTATAATTATTTCCTTTTTAATATAGATATAAAAGGTGATATCTGTGCAAATAATAAAAAAGAAAAACTTTTCTTTAGGAAACAAAGCTGTGTCATAGACTAAGCTCATCTAGTGAGGGGTGTGTGGAATTTATACACATGTGTGGATGCTTCACATGCTGTCTTGCCAATATGTTTTCCATTTAAAGAGTCCCCGTCGATGGTAATCCTCCTTGCACAATAAAATGTGTGTCATTATTTCTTATGTAGAATTTGTTGTCATTTGGACGTATTTGCTGTGTTCTGTGTTTGTATATCACAACATGATGTTAACATCCTTGAATTAGACTTTTTTTGTATTCATCATGCTCCGCGGCATTATTTAAAAAGATCTTCATATCTGAGTTACCAACGTTTGGCTCACAGTGCCAAAAAAAAACAAGAAAGAAAAAAGGTACCGGAATCCTCTCAGAATCATTGTTGTCTTTTCTGAAAAAATAAATAAAAATGCTGAAAGATCATGTCATGAATGTATCACAGAAAGGTTTAACTTTAAATGCAGAGTTCAGGCATTACTTTGAAATGACAGGTGATTTATTGATATTGTTTTGAATTTCCTGTTTGAATTGCTATTGTAAAAATATGATATTGTTTATTACAAATTGAGTCTTTGTACTTGCACTGAAAATGTATTCATTATGAAATGGGGCATTTTATCCTGAAGCATAATTTGTGCTTTGAAATTTCTTCCATTAAACTTGTATTTGTAACGCTGTAGTTTTTTTTATATGAATATTTCCATCCATCAAAAAATTGTTATGAAAACATGTTATTTTGAGAATCTTCGTGGTCATCAATAAAATAGTCCAATGCAGAGTTGTACATGCTTGTAATCAGTTAAATGTGGAGCCCATCTTGTGCTATGCACTCCATACTCCATGTTGCATATAAGAATAATAAAAAAATCTATTATTCACAGGAGGTGAGAAAAGGTGAGAAATGCACTTTGTTTCAGTTCCAGTTACCATTGTTGTGAATATATTATTTATGTTGAAAAAGTAATGGTGCAAAAGCTGTTTAATTTCCATGTTTTTGTCTTAATATATTAGACATGTAATAACTCTTCTGATCTTTTCAATTGTAAAAACAGCCAGATACAAAACACTAATTTATTATATTGTTTGGTTTGTTATGGAATTTGAGCTCTAATGCAGAAAAAAAGGGAAGATCCAAAATATTTTTTTCAAAGATCACACTATAGTCTGATTTAGAAATAGAAAGTCATAAAAAATAAGTAGAAAATCATCCATTTAGTCATCCAGTTATTTTTCTTTCCTATATTCTAACATCTATATTGTAGTCTAACAGACTGGTTTATTTATGTCAATTCAGTTTGTTAATACAGTATATTGCTACATTAAAACAAATGTCATGTCTCTTCACTTCAATCTGATTTTAAATTAAATCACAATTCACTGTAATACAATCTTAGTCTGATAAATTAAAATTAATTCCAATTTAGTCCAATTTATGCAGTACCAATTTAAAAAACTTGCCAACGTAAGGAAATAAACAGATGCAGAAAAAATGCTCTTCAAACCAATCCTTCATCTCGAGTGTATATCAGGGACTTTGGAAGGAAATAACTCCATTTTAACGAGAAAACAAAGCTCTGATAGAACCAGACTCCCGGAGGGTGGCCGTAGAAAAGAGGGACAAAAACACTATGCAGAGAAAGAAAAACACAAGTAAATGACAACAATAATGTCATTTCCACATGAAAAATAATCCCACTGCCTTAACCTTGGCTAAAGTTTTCCTGTGAGAGATAACAAACATGTAGATTGTGTCCTAATTGAGAAAATCATCAATGAAATTTTTTCTTTTTTGTTCGAATGCTGTACTACAATTTTTTTTTTATATATAAATGTTTTTGTCCCATTTATGTTGGGAAAAATATGAAAAAAAGAGGAGATGTTTAGGATAACCTTGGGAACTAAATGTGAGTTTATTGTGAGTTATATAGATGAGTTTTAGAAAGGGATGGTATTGAATTAAATATATTTACATATATAATATTTTCATTACAATGGAAATGATATTGTTGAATATTTTCTGAACAATCATAATAAGCTTTTATTATCAAGATGTATTGCTGCTGGGCAGGAAGGATGTCCTGTGTATATTTAAGTTACAGCTGCTAAAAAGCTTGACAAAGACCATCCGTCGTTTTAGCACAAGGTTACAGGAAGAATGAGTTCTGTTCTAGAAGGTTTATTGACTTGAGCAGCACATGATACAAAATCACCTCTAGGTCCAAAGCACTCTCTTGCATAAATCACGCTTTCTTTTGTTTAGTTTCCTGACCTTGATACTACTGCCTCCAGACATAGCTTCAAATCAGGCAGCTGTAGCTCATCTTATTGGAAGGCAGGTGGTACAACTCTGTGTTCCCCCAGGGCCACATTTTAAGGAGTTGTTGGGCAACAATCCTGCATTGCCTACCAATGTAACCACCAGTATGTGAATGCTTGTATGAATGAGTAAATGCTATGTCGTATAATTATTACAAAAATCCGTAAAAAGTCGTCAAATTGATTACAGTAATGAGAATTATATAAGGGCAGTCCATATCCTCCTGAGACCCGGCCCATTCATTTATGTCCATTATAGTGGACATTTTGTCCACCTGTACCCCCCCTAAGTATCTGGAGTTACCCTATCAAGCCCTATAGTGTTCTGTAGAGGACATCCTGGGCTTTCCAGTGATGTGCCATGTGATAGCTTTGCATGCTGGGAACTTTACTTTTTTCCTAAGAGTTCTTAGGTAAATATCCCTTTCAAGACATCTTCTTTTTTATTATTTAATTATCTAAAGCCTGTTCTATTTTCCCATGCAAACCGTCCTGTTGTCCTCCACAGTGGACATGCTATGAAATTAAAATTTAAAATATTTGTAAAAAAATTTAAATTGTAATGTTCTTTTTTAGGTCCAAATACATGGAAAATCACAACAAAAAAGAAATTTGAAGACACTTTTTTTCTTTGGGTCTCAGGAGGATATACCATTTAAACTGGTCTGCGTGTATTTGGACTAATGGCATGTAATGTGAAAGCGCTTTGAATGGTCAGTTAGCCTATAAAACATCTAGAAGTTGTAACATATTGTAACATTGTAACAAAATATGAACTTTTTCAGGTAAAGAGTAAGTATAGCTTATAATGGGGTACGGTTGAACGTATTAAGGAGGACACTTACACTAGGAATGGGTGTAACCAATCATTAATTCATTGACTGCCAGCCATTTTCAGAACAGAGAGTCCCATACTGCCAGAGTTTTTTGAGCATTTTGACTGATTTTTCAAGAGTCACAGAATAGTTTGTGCTATGACTATGTAAACACCCAAAACACCAAAAGAAAGAGTAGACTCTCTTCTTTCATCAGGAAAAAAAATGTGTTTCTACCTTATTCCGTTCTTCCTCGACTTGCGTCTCACCGGCGCCATTTCTCTCATAGCGAAGCGTTACCTTTTTCTTATTTGCCTACAATCTATGCTCATCTCCCATCAAAAGTGGCACTGCCACCTAGAGGGTCAATTTGTTAGTACATAATGTTTCTAGAAGCCTGATATTTACAGACAATCTTTAGCAGATCGTCCCCCAAGCCACTCGCGTTGAAAAACATAAAAGACGTCTATAGACGTCTTTGGCAATCAATGGTTATATTTGAATTGACATGTATAAACGTCTTTGTTAGCCAATGAGTTACGGAAGAGCTATTGGTGGTGTTGTGCTCTACGTCTGGAGTAATAAGATGAGAAGCAATGGTGAAAGAAATTGTTTGTACTAGTTTAACATTTGTGTAACCCATAAGTACATGGGGAACTCGTGTACAGAACAAAGTCAGTTATTTGATTCCCAGCCCCCTTGATTCTGCTCCCAGATTCATTGATGAACTTCAAGTGATTTGTGATCAGGTTTAATGCTGTGGGACTGACCGCCTTCACTTATTGGTCAAACGTTTACTCCCAATAACCTTTGAAAGATTAGATCCAGTCTACCTGCTTCAGGTCTGCGTACTGGAAATCCCACTGTGAGACGTGGATAAAACTGCCAATAAGACTACAGTAGCAGCTTAGGATACAGCCATCAATACATGTGTTAGGACTGGCTTATATTTACTGGGTTTAGAGGTTTACTTGGTTTCACTTTATTACTAGATTTAGTTACGGATTTAGTTACCAATGTTAATTTAAGAATGATACTCAGACACTGAACTCATGTTATCTTTATAGCTGAACTTAAAAATCTCTCTCCTTTTCCTATGAGACATTATAGACATGTCTTCAAGGACAACACTCAAACACACACATTTCTTATCAAATCTCAGTGGAACCTGCGTGGATTGGGAGATGGCCTGATCATGGTAGATGGTACTGGCCAATAAGACTCGGATGCGTCTAGCGCTCCTTCTGTACGGGACAGGCCCAGCCCAACAAGACAAATGTCCATTACACTTGGAACTCGAGGCTCTTTTCTGATGGAGATCCTCACTGAGCTTTGTCAGTTAAGAGCCCAGCATGCTGATTAACTTTACATGTGACATGAATAAATAACATATTTATACTTGGACCATTTCTCTGGTTTATTCTCAGGCTTCCTATAAAAGAGTTGGACTCACACAGGTTCCCCCACAAGTTTTGATTATGGAGCAATTTGTACTTGTAAGCAGAACTCAGATGAAAGCACTGATGACTTCATCACACATGTCCTTGAAATAGTAACAGGTTACTGTGGGCATGCACATTCGAACGGTTTGGGACATAAGGCCAAATCTTGGGAGAGTGTTGAGTGTGTTGCAGTAATTAAAGTTCTCTTGACATTGCTTTGCAATTAAACCTGGAAGACGTGAGCAGATATGGCTGCTGTGCCCAGAATAATGTGGGCAGGCTCAATTAAGTAAAGAACGGTACAGCTTCTTTAAAGAGCTCTTCAAAGGAGCTGTAGAAGTTTCCTTGTGCACTTCTATACAGATGTCATTGAGGTCAGTAGTGGGATTATCTAGCGTGTCATACGCAGTTTTGGCCGCTCATGTCACGTGATATCTTGACAATGAATTAGAGCAACAGGAAAAGGAATAAATTGACTTGGCCACACTCCAGACCCCCCTGGCTAAAAAGAAGGTGAGGGACAAAGTGAATCAGTTCAAGGCATCTACTAAACAGCTGCCTCAACATGCTCCTGCCAAAAATCACCTAATCCCGCTACAGATTAAAGAAACATCCTTATTACAAAATATTTGATTTATGGCCTATTTTTAGTATTTTGGGGGACAAATTAGGTTTTTATGACAAAAAATTTGACCAATCACTTTGTTAGGTCACTTGAGATCACCCTATGGGCATGTGTGGACATGTTTCATGTGTTTGAGGTTTGGGTAAGGGGGATTTATTGTTATTCAACAGTGAATGTCTCGATGATCCTAACAACTATGTTGTCCAGGGCTCTAAGCCCCTGGTAGGGTCCCCTACGGCAAAGAGGTCCTAGGCGAGGGATCAGATAAACTGGAACCCAAAGATACCCTATAATGAACACTATAAATAGAACAAGTTCTCCCTCACCCAGACACAGGTCACAGAGGCCCCACTGGGGAGCCAGGCCCAGAGGTGGGGCATGCTGGCGAGTGCCTCGTGGTCGGGCTTTCAACCATGGAGCCCAGCAGGGCTCATCCCAAAAGGGCCGCATGGGTCCCCCTTCTGATGGGCTTTCCACTTATCTTGGT